TGCCTGGGCATTAAAAACACCGGGTCAGGTGGCTGCCTGGCCCCTTTCAGGTCAAAGGGAATAAAGCATATATCATGCAGTTTCTCCCCATCAGAGAATGGCTTACCGTTTACCAGGTAATCACAATGTAATTTTGTTGCTTTTATTTTGAAAGCAACTCTTATTTTACACATTTACATCTGTATAAAATGAAAAGTCTTTGAATTTTTGAAATTAATATGAATGCTGATTAAACAGTGATCAAACATTGGTGTTTTTACATATACACTGCCTGACTGTAACACCTGCTCCCACCAGCAGTGGTTTATAATGAGGTCAAATATGGAGACGGTCAGGTTCAGCTTATTAACCAGTTTGTCAGTAATTATCCTGCCTTTGTCTTCAAGTGTCAGTGAGAGCTGTACATCCAGAGCAGAAGTCTTCGACCTTCCAGCTCTGTATAAAATCTGTAAGTAAAGCCAAGTTGGCCTGGTAAATGGTATTTGTATAGCGCTTCACTTAGTTATCCCAGGTATCGTCTTACCTCCTGCCTCCGGAAGTTGATGACCACCTGTTCAAACTGCTCATCTTTGGTCTCGTCTGCTTTTCCCAACTTCTGCAGAACCTGAAAGAGAAATCACATCAAAGTTTTTAGCTGCTGAGCAGCGCTCACGCTGGTGCTTCAAACGCTGGTGAGATGAGTTTTGTCAGCCACAGTAAAGCTGCCACCTGTCACACAGGTGTGTTAGATCACAGGCTGAAGGAATCCTACGATTTCTCTTTGAGTGGATGTTTCCTGTTTCAGGTGTAAAACAGCTTAATTACGTTTGAGGAGAGGGGCGGGCATCAACTCACAGCTGTGCGGTGCGCCTGTTTGCGCCTGATAAATAAAACACAATGACGTCATCACGCCGTGGACAACACTGTCGACCTTGGACCTGGGAAATACGTCACTAACGTCTTTAATTTTCAAGAGGAAAACGTGCGTGACGCGTTTTACCGCACACGTGACATCACGATCTGCTTTAGCCAATCAGAACGCGCTCTATTTGTTTTTGATGATTTTTCCGTTTCTGATGATTTTTCTCCTCAGCCCGTAGCTAAGCACGTGACCTCCGAGCGGCTCAATAGCAGATGATCAGTAAAACATCGATCCTCATGTGTGAGCGATCGGATTAGAGAGCGGCGGTGACCGGGCCTCCTGCAGCCTCCAGCACCGCTCCTCCATCCGCCCTCCGCATCACCTCCATCACCTGCTCCTCCTCTCCTCCCCCTCTCACCTTCTCCTGGGCTCGGTTCAGGCGCTTCTGCACGTTCTTAGCGAAGATTCCCGTTTTGATTTCCGCCATGACGACCGCACCGAGAGAGAGCGGAGGATTACCGGAGACACGGGAGGGGGAGGGGTGTGTAAGTGTAGTGGGCGGGGCCGAGGACTCGGTGCTCCTCTGATTGGACGGTGTGTGTGTGTGCGTGTGTGTGTGTGTGTGAGTGTGTGTGTGTCCGCGAAGCTTTCAGACTGTCACGGGTTAATCTGCAGGTGGAGCAGCTTACTCACGAGCTATTTCAGGTTTTAACTCAAATCTACAGTAAACAGGAAGTGATGTAAAGCCTGTCCTGACGTCATTAAGCAACAAAACGTTCTTTTTCTAGGTGAACAAACGTTAAGGCCTGACAGCGCATATGGGCTAAACTCCTGACCCTCGCATAGAAGCTCCTTCAGCTGTGACAGGTGTGACAGCTAACCCTAACAACCAGGTGTGGATCTCTGATCAATAATCAATAAGGAGTGATTGGTTGTGTAGCAGCAGAGTGATCCAGGGGCGTAATTTCCAGGTGGGTTATGACCCCCCCCCCAATAATCCGACCGAGCCAATATAACCCCCACAATAAAATTATGAATGATCTTGCATAAATAGGCGGTTGATTTTCTTTACTCATTTCAGTTATTACCAGGAAAATAGTTGCATGTTTTGTCATCTGGGGATTTACCCACATTTATTTATTTATTTAGACAGAGATCTTGACCCCCCCCCCCACACACACACACACACACACACACACACACACACACAATGTTCACCACAAAGTTACTGGAATAATCAAAGCTAAAACACACCTTTAATGAATCTTTTATTTTATTTATTCAATCCCCTGTGTGTGTGTTTGTGTGTATAATTACATCTGAGTAGCACTCAAACCCTAACCTGTGTGGGGCCACTTTGTGTTTAAAGGGAGTTCTTCCTTCTGGCTTCGATCCTCAGCCTGTTGGTAGGCAGCTCTGAACTCCTGAACATCCAGAGCACATTGGATTTTGTTGAAAAGGTGTGAGATGTTATTGTGGAGGCAGATGGAACAATGGTCTCGCACGATGTTACATCTCCCTTCACTTGTATTCCAGTCACTCAAGTTTTGGAGATAATTTGTAAGACCACAATTTAGATAAATTTTTTGAAAAAAAAAAAAAAGCATGCTGGGAAATGTATACCTGTTTTTGCTGACTTTGATCTCTTTGAGGTAAATGTCTGTGATCCCACTGACATCATTTCTGCCTCACTTTGTTTTCTGGCTGGTGTTTAAGAGCAGCGGTCCCCAACCCTTTTTGCGCCACAGACCGGTTTAATATTCAGACAATATTTTCATGGCCTTTAAAGTGTGGCAGATAAATACAACAAAATAAAATGATGCGACCAAAACAAAAACTGTGGTATTTTGTAAATATAAAAATAAATGTGAATTCATTGTGTAAATGTTTTACTTTATTAGCAGTGTGCTCCTGAGAAAACATTGAGAGTAACTTCCTCCTCTCTGCCTCTTAATGCTCTCTGGTTGCTATGGTAACGTGTAAATATTTCTTTCAAGTAAAGACACACAACTACAAAAGAAATATAAAGTTCATTAAATTGTTTAGAAAATTTATTCATAACACACGGGGAAAGACCCAGGGAAGCCGAGTTAACGATAAAACCCTGAAAACCACACATTTCACACCCGGGCCTCAACTCTTGAGGCCCGGTACCAAACGACTCACAGACCGGTACCGGTCCGTGGCCTGGGAGTTGGGGGCCGCTGCTTTATAGAGCAGTTTGTCAATGTGTCGCCAACAACGTCTGTCCCTGTCCAGGCCTGTAACACCTGTCAGGGCAGCATGAAGCACCTTGAGGCCACTATCGTTTGATTATCGCTTGGTGCTGTATTACTAAAGCTGACCTGATTGAATTTAATGTTCAGAAAAAACCAGCAGAGGGCAGCAGAGCCTCAAACCACATGTTGGAGAAGACTATCTGGTCTTTAAGTGATGACGAGATGAATCCTGCTTCCGGGCCCAAACTACTCTACGTTTAATAAGGCTTTTGTGTTTTTAACATGTTTTAATGTTAAAAACACATTAAAACATATCGCTAGCGACACATAGTTGTGTCGCTAGCGATCACGTAGCACATCATTATATACCAGCTAGCCCAACTTCAGTAACCCTACAAACGTCACTGCTGTTTAGTTTTCTGTCTTCATTTATGTTGGAAGTGACAGCAGAGCTGTACATTTGAATTGTTTCAGAAATCTCTCAGTCAGAACATGCTATATCATGTTTGGGTGCAATTCGATGGGTGCACCTGGGGCACTTTGACCACTTTCAACATGCAGATTGGATTCTAACCACCAACCTTCCAAACACCACAAAACCCCACTACCTCCTGAGTGCTGTTTTCCACAGGTCAGTGTGTCTGGTGGGGGAACCCTGAAGTTCAGATGTAGAGTGTCAGCGGGGAAATAAGTCACTTACAAAGAAGTCACATGATCATTTCTGTCCAGTAAGATTTATTTTCTGTGCTGTGCGGGTCCTAATGTTTCTGCAGGTGTGCAGCTGATGACTCTGCCAGTCACTCAACAGCCATGTTGAACTGGAGATAAAGTATCTGAATTTCTGGAGCGGGACCACATCTCCAAACACGCTCCTTCCAGTTCTTATCTATATATGTTACCTCAGTTCTACATGCTTTTCGTTCTCGTCTATGTGCCCCTTGAAGTTCTCCAGAGGCCTAGTGTTGAACTACTCATGTGATTCAGGTGTGTTCATCCAGGGTCAGATCTAGAACCTGCAGGACACTGGCCCTCGAGTTCCCCAACCCTGCTCTAGTCCAATCATCTGCTGGTCTCATCTTTATACAGGATGCTTCAAACAGCTTCTGCTTTAAATGACGTAACAGTATTACGTCATTTAAAAGTGAGATCAATCAAAAATTCACATCCACTTGAATTTTGTCAAAAAAAAGCACTTCTTGCCAGTTGACATCTTGAATTGATCAAACAAACGAGTGACTGTGTGACATTTTCAGCTGACGCTTGACCTGTGTTATGACGGCGTCACATTTTTAGGCTTTACAGCCGTTCAGGTCGGACATCTGCGGTCAGTTCACTGACATCCACACATGTGGATATTCCCGATGTTTCTCCTGCCGCAGAGCTGACAGACCTGTTTGAACTTATAGGAGCCACTGACTCAGAGGGCCCCTCTCAGGTGAAGAGGACGCTGTAGGTCCTGACTCCCACCAGCAGAGGGCGTGCTGATGTCACTGTGTGTGCGTGTGTGGTAGTCTGTTTTGAGCACGCTCCATCTGCTCTGTGCAGGACTGGTCTTTAGAACAAACTCTCTCCATTCTAAAAATTTATTTCACACCGACAGTCTCTCCTCCACGTGAGGTGATGATGACGCTGCGCTGACTCATCTGTGTGTCTGTGCACGTGTGTGTGTGTGTGTGTGTGTGTGTGTGTGTGTGTGTGTGTGTGTGGTGAATGAATCAGGGACACTACCTCCTCTTTCCTCCTTCCTCCTCCTCTTATGTCGTGACGTTCATTCAGGAGGAAACTCCACAAACAGTCCTGAGATATTCTGAGAGACTTTACTCACTGTGTGTGTGTGTGACTCACAGGGAAATACCTCTGTGGATGGAGGGAGGGATTAAACAGGCTGAGAGGTATAATTACTGTAACAGAGCAGAGAGGAAGAGTAGAGTGACCCTGCACACTGTTCGTTCAGTTCAGGACCACCGGGCCAGCACCAGGAGGACTAGCAACACCAGAACAAGCCTCACAGCGCATCAGACAGAGTTTCTAGTTTCCGCCCTGAAGTCTTTTCAGAGGATTTCATCTGAAGAATCTCAAACCTGTTTCAAATAAAAACTCTACTGTCTTTTACTCTGCATCAGACCGCCAACCATTATGTGTTCTCTTTCTGCCGTGGTCTTTTCCATCTCAGCATGGCTTCTCATCGATGCCTCTCCGACCATCTCTCCGGCACCACGGCTGCAGGACTCGGCGGTGTCCTCTGACTGTCCTTCGTGCTTTTTGCCTCAGCTGAGGAGGAACTCGTCTTCGTCCGGAGCTCAGAGTGATATGGTGGAGGCAGTGAAGCGTCACATTCTCAACATGCTGCACCTGAGCGCCCGGCCCAACCTGACACAGCCAGTTCCTCGTGCCGCTCTGCTCAACGCCATCAAGAAACTTCACGTGGCCCATGTGGCTGAAGACGGCAGTGTGGAGATCCAGGAGGAGGGCCAGGGCACGGGCAATTCAGCACCACCCGAACCGCCATCTGAAATAATCACCTTTGGAGAGCCAGGTGAGTCCCACGGCACGTCAGGCGTGGTTTATCTTCTTGTCCTGACAGAGAACACATCCAGTTTCTGAGTTCAGGGTTAGTGTTATTAGTGTTATTAGTTCTGGTTAAATACAGCCGTAGAAAGTTTTCAGGCTCACCACTGAGCCCTCTGACTGGTTAAAGCTAATTCTGCGAGGAGAAAAAACCCTTTAATGTAAGAACTGAAAACACGATGAGCCTTTGACATTCAGGATGGATTAAAGAGTGTCTGTAGGGAACATTTTCTCTTGGCTGGGTTCGGTTATTAACGTCAGCAGATCCAGACTCAGTGGAGTCAGACTCTTCAGAGGTTCACTGACCGTCAGTGATGTCAGACTGTCTGTTTGCTCTTTCAGCTCATTCACAATAATCCAAAGAGGTCAAAGTGTGTTTACAGATTTCAGCCACAGGTTTTCATGTTCAGGTCAGAACATTCAGCTCACATTCATGTGTTTGACTGCAGTGCTGAAACTTCCAGTTTGTCTGAGTGAAATAAACGTGTTTGTTCTGTTGACAGAAACAAGGAAGGGTTCTCTGATGGAAGCCTTGTTTCTTTCATTTCTGAACCCCAAAATGTAAACTAACAAATCAACTTCTCATCAAAGTTCAGTCACTGAAGATGTCCATCAGACAGACTGGTGACCAATTAGTGGACAAACCTTACTTCAAACAGGAATGTTCGAATGATCTGCTGGTTTGGGTCACAAAGACTCAGAGTAACAATCAATATGAGGACATCTTAAATCCACAGAGTATTTTCACTGAGAACAACAGCTGGAGAAAGTCTCAACAGATGAAAGATGAGGGAAACATTGGTCTGAACAGCGGTAGATCTTTGCTGGCAGAACCTTTGCTGCTTGTCATTAACCTGCTCTCAATCCACTGTGACTTACTGAAGATGATGATGGTTGCAAAGCCTTTAAAATCTCCTGTGAATACGGACCCGTCACATTGCTGCTTTGCTTTGTTCTATAAATAGTTGTCTCTATCAAAAGGCCCCTCAAAGGATGCTCGCCCAAATTAGTGCACAGTAATTTGGGCGAGCATACCAAGTGATCTTAGCGCGTAAATAATCTGTTCATTCAGATAAATCTGGGCCTCACTAATTATTCTCTAACAGGAGACAAAGAAGGAAGCACTGAGACAGGACGGGCCTTTTTTTTGTTGGGGTGGTGTTGGTCGGTGGGGGCGGGGTTAGCGTCCTATATGACCAGGCTTGTTAACATCATTAACATCATTCCCTGAAATCAGGCCTGGTCTTTTTTTAGTGCCTTTCCTCATATTGAATATATTTAGAGGCTGAAGCTCCATTCAAGCTTTCACTGTTAAGAACATCGACTTTGTTCACTTATTTAAATTTCTATCTCGGGGGGGGGGGTGCGTCAGCGGGGTCATGGTTTCAAGTTCCTCGTTTGTTCCCTTCAGGGAAAAACAAACTGCCAGATAAAGTTGGTCTTTCCTAAGGCGTCTCCAGCACATTTAATTTGATATCTTCCCGAACTCAGACACAGGTTATCGCCCACACCAACCCTAATCCGCCCAGACTCAACCCTAAACCACATTAACCCATCCAGTTTCCACTTAAAATACAATCTGAGAGGTCAAAGGTCAAAGACTATCAGACTGAATTCTGAACGCCCCTCTGTCATTGTCAAGGGTCAGAGATCGCACTGTTTTAGACTGAATTTTTCTGACTCTGTGTAGTAAATGTGACACAGCGCTAATGTCCTAACTATTCTCTTTCACAGGTGTCGGGCCAAACACGGTGACCTTTGACATTTCAAGCGAGGGCAGTGGCTCGTCTGTGGTGGAGCAGGCAAACGTTTGGATCTTCCTGAAAATGTCAAAGATGAACCGCCTGAGAAGCAAAGTGATGCTGCGGCTTTATCGCGACGATGATGACGAGCACTGTGTTTCAGAGAAGATGGCGGACACCCGTCGTAGTGGCTGGCACACCCTCGCCATTCCTCGCACTGTTCAGAATCTACTGGACGGCGGCAGCAGTCCTCTTAGGTTACGGGTTTCCTGTCCGCTGTGTCTCGAAGCAGGTGCCGCTCCCGTCCTGACGCCTGCAAACGGTGAACCGGCCACGGGACGAGATCAGTCACACCGGCCGTTCCTCATGGTGGTGCTTCAAGCTCAAGAGGAGGTGGCTAAGCGCCGAGCTAAACGAGCTCTGGAGTGCGATGGGAAAATCCGCATCTGCTGCAAACGAGAGTTTTACGTGAACTTTAAAGACATCGGCTGGAGCGACTGGATCATCGCTCCGGCTGGTTACCACGCCAACTACTGCGAAGGCGACTGTCCAAACCACATGGCAAGCATTGGAAGCTCACCGCTGTCTTTCCATTCAACGGTCATCAACCATTATCGCATGAGAGGCTACAGCCCATTTCAAAACATCAAGTCGTGCTGCGTGCCAACGAGGCTGCGAGCAATGTCAATGCTCTACTACAACGAAGAGCAGAAGATTATCAAGAAGGACATCCAGAATATGATCGTGGAGGAGTGCGGCTGCTCGTGAACAGCTGGCTTTGGCTCTGCTGGTTCTACCAGACGTGGAAAAGATCTGGAAACTGTCAGAGAACCTCTGAGAAATATTCTATGAAACCTGCAACCTGCAGGAAGAAACATCTGATATGCTCTTTCCCAGGAAAGACAGTCTCCTGTGTTCAGTGAATTTTTGTGTTTCATACTGGGAGAGACTTTTCCACATTGGAATGTGCTGAGGATACTATGCAACGTGGATGTCTCTGTGTGCTTCATCAGTGTTGGTTTTCTGCTGCTCAGAGAACATTTCCACATTATTAGCATGTTCCACTGAAGCTGAAAGTAGTTAATGTGGTTGCTGAAGCCAAACGTTATTTTCGTTATTGTTATGAAACACACTGAATGTAGATATTTGCACAGTAATAGGTATTTCTAGATGCATTGCCTCAGTTTGGATTCAGATGAAAGCCAAAGACAAACGCTTGGTTCATTTTCCTGAGAGACAAACGGCTGAAATCCACCTGTGTCAGATTAAACCTTTAATCTGCTGAAACAAAAACAAACTGAAGACATTTCTCTTCACATCAATCTTTAATTGTAATATATGTTGTTTCTGTAATTTATTTCCATTGATTGTTTTCTCATTAAACAGACTACCAATCCACATTTTGTCTCTGTCTTTGGAAAACTCTAAATAACACAAGTCTTTGCATTTCAATGACTCTCTGAGAGTTCGTGCCACCCTCAGGACAAACCTTGCACTGCAAATATGAGAACAGCTCAGCCATTATGAACTCTTTCAAACAGGGGTGGGGAACTCCCGGCCTCGAGAGCCGCTGTCCTGCAGGTTTTAGATGTGTCAGCTGATTCCTCAACATGTCCTGAAGTGCTCCAGAGGCCTGGTAATGAACTAATCATGTAATTCAGCTCTGTTGACCCAGGGTGAGATCTAGAACCTGCAGGATATCGGCCCTCGAGGCCTGCAGTTCCCCACCCCTGTTTTAAAAGGTTTATTAAGGTCAATCATGAGTTAATATCACAGATTTGGGCTGGCTCAAACATCACTAAAGTGTATCCTGACTAAAGCAAAATGAAGATCTGAAAAGCAGGAAGTGATTTCATTTACTGCAGATCAGTCATTTTATTTCAGATTTGGTGTGATTGCTGGCACCCAGCCGCTCGGTTTTCAGGTTTCAAAGTGGGGTTTTTTGCAACCAGCCTTTACTTGATTCTCGAACCCTAACTCTTTTCAGAGGAAGACGTGCTTATGGGAAACTTTCAGGCAGCTACTCTCTGATGTTATTCATGCTGTAAATGGTAAACAGACTTGTTCTTAAATAGTTCTTTTCACCTCTAAGCACATTTTACTCTAAGCTTCATTCATACAGATACTTTTCTTCTATACTCAAGCACCTTTCAAACATCCACAAACACACTGACAACCTGATGGGTTCAGTATCTTGGCCTGGACATGCAGGCTGGACTCCTGACGCATGTGTTCAAAGACACCCAGCCCCTCAGCTCTGAGCTGAACTCTGTTTTCACACATTCACAAAGCCATTCAGAGCGATGGAGAAATCTGAGAGCCAGCTCTTTGTCTTCAGGTAAAAATGGGAGCGATGGCTGGCAGACTGAGAGGCTCCTTCACGTTCACCTCTGTCTGTTCTGCCCCCTGATTGGCTGTTGACAGTGGTAAAGTTAAACCTTTTGCAGGCTGAAAGCAGCGGAGCAGCCAGCTGGCATGGTGGCGCTCTGTTTGTTCACTGACCTACAAACTCATCGCTGAGTTAACAAGTTGGTTTAAGAACCACAAAGACTGTTGAGGCAAACCCAAAGAATTCTGGGTACTGGAGCACAGAAACACTTGATGAAAAGAGCCTGAAACACAACATCAGGAGTCAGTTTCAAACGTGCCCACAGAGCTGCAGGCTGAGAAAAAACAATATATCCGAAAGGGTTGTAGACAAAAGTACAGAAAAACCAAACAGAATGCAGAAACATTTAAGCTAAGATGCCTGTGATTGGCTGGAAACAGGGCCAGTACCCTCACCCATTGAATCCTGGGAGAGACTCCAGCAGTTACTGAGGTTATCAGGCTTATCAGCACTCTGGGCACTGATGAAACTCTTTGGACAATGACCAGCTTCAGCTCAGAGAGGTACTATTTGGAAGGTTTGAACTTGTTGGACCCAAACAGAGGAATTTGTGAGAGTTTAGCTTAAATTGTTTAAATTCACACAAACAGAGATATGGTTTAGATGTCAATTACATGAGAAAACCACCAATAACATCAGTCCATTGTCTTTGTTCTAAACAAAGTGAGATCCCTACAGCTGACGGGTTAGATCCCCAATAACACAAACCATCATGAAAAGGCATAACATATACTGCTCTGAGCCTTTATATTTCTATTAACACTTGGTTAAAATGTGTGTTCTTGTGAAATGTGTAGCACCTCTGTATAAAACAATACGTTATTACCATTAGAAACGAGTGGGATACCCTTTGGTTACTGAAGCTGTGCTGTATGAAAGCGTTGACAGATAACAGATAGATGTATTGCCTGTAAAACAGAAATCATTCCTGAAGGTTTGGTTTATAATTAATGACATTAAATATAATGTTAGTGAGAATTCATGTTTGGTTTCCACAGGTCTACATCGGGCATCAGTTCAATTCATTTTTATTGAACTGAAAAAACGAATTGAATTTATATCATGACGACAATTGCCTCACTGTGTTTGATGAGCCCTATTGTAAGGTAGAGACCCTACGATAATACACACTGTAAATGTATTTTACAAGTATTAAAGGCCACATGTACTCTGGAATATCTGATTAATTACACTGTAAACTACTGAAACTCTGTCTGTGACTCAGGGTGTTTCGATTCTTTCCCTGATTTTGGATGCAATAGTTGTGATCCCTGTTTAATATTTGTAATCTTAGTTTTGTTATCATTCCTCCTCTGTGTCCTTGTCATCTTGGGTCTGGTTTCCTGTGTTATTGATGTCTATCTGTGCTCGTGCCCTCTGTATGTGGTCAGTCTGAGCCTCAGTGTGTCTCTCGTACTTCCTGTGTTATTTTTTCAGTTTCCCGTTGTCAGGCGCTGGCTCTGTGCACCAGCAGAGTTTATTTTGTATTTTTGATTTCTTATGTTATATTGGAAATAGCCTAAGTTGAGGGAGTACTTGAGTCTACCACACGTCCTGATGTATGAGTCTTGTCTTCAGTGTTTTTTCTTTCAGTAATGCATGTCCGTTAGTCTCTCCTCGGTTCCATGTTCTAATTGTCTTGTGCTGTCATGTCTACGTCGCTCCATGTTTCCTGTTTCATTTTGAAGAGTCTGGTGTTTCCATGTCCAGTGTGTATAGCTTTGGTTCCCCTATGGCGTCACGTTCTTTAGTGTCAGCTGTGTCTCCCCAGGTGTTTCCACTTCCATCATTATCCTCCTGTGTGTTTGAGTCGTCTGTCTCCTTTGTTCTTTGTCTTCACGTCAGGCCACAGAGTTTTTTCCCTACTGTTCAGGTTCTTGTTCATGCTGTTTTGATTATTGCACAGTTACATTTTTGCATGTTCCCGTTCAGTTTCATATTCATGTCTTTTCCCATTTTAAGTTTTAGTTTAGCTCCCCCTTTGTTTTCGCCTTCCTTATCTGTTTTTTTTGCATCAGTCACAATAAAGGCTCGCTTTTGTTTAAATTTCAGTTCATTTCTTCCATTTCTGCTTTTGGGTCCACTCTACAAACACACCGGTGATCCCTGCCATGACTTCCTGTGTGCATTGTGTTCTGTTCTGCTTCCCATCTCATCAGTCACACTGTGTTCAGCTGTGTTCTTCACATGTTTCTTCTCTGCCCTCTTTCTTGTGTATTTATTGTCTGTGTCTCCTGTGGTCCGTTGTCGCAATGTCCCTGAGCCCTTACTGCTGAGTGTTCTGTCCTGTTAATGTTCTTTTTAGTTGTGGTGTGTGTATGTATATATGTGTGTATATACATACATACATACATATATATGTGTGTGTGTGTGTGTGTGTATATATATCCTGCTTGACTCACACAGCATTGTGATACGTACCACTTTCCTGGTTTTGTCATTTTTCTACATGGTTAACATTCATTTTAAAAACAATGACTATCAGAATTTCCTTTCCCAGTTAACATGTGTTTGCTGGCCTATTCACCATCACAGTGATACCCTTCATCTCTGACTGGGCTGTTTTATCGAACCAGCTAACTGTCACGGTTTGGCATGGCAAACCGTGGGGGGGTGTGGGGAAGGAGGACCCAGGCGCGGTGCTCTATGTACAAGCAGTGCGTTTATTTACAGTGAAAACTGTACACACAACAATACATCCCCGTGTGCTCCCGACTTCCACTCCGTGTCTTCTCCCAGTGTTTGTGCTCGTGTGTCCGCTCCCT